GTGTGTGTGTGTGTGTGTGTGTGTGTGTGTGTGTACCTCGTCTGCTCAGAGTATAAAATATAAGTATAAAATTCACTAACGCAAGCCCATTTAAATAAAAGTCTATATAACTCATTTCTTCTTTTTTTCAAATAAAAGTTTGTAACTATTCACTTTGTTTTGATAAAGAGATAAATGTTAAACGTGTCTTTGGGAAAGGAGTGGAGTAGTGAGGGATTTTGGTGGGGCTCAGCTTGGTTTGAAAGTAAGAAAGGAGAGCTTTGAGTAAAACAGGTTGGGAACCAGTGATCTACAGTCAGTGGAGCTTTCAGCTCCTGGCTTTTTGAAATTCACCTTGTTGCTATTTTACTATTTTGTCTGTCATGCTGTATTACTTTTGGTATTTTTCATTAATTCACATACAGACTTGGGAATAAACTCCACTCCTGCGCCAGGCTGCTGAGAAATCCAATTTAAAATGGACTCTCCTCAAAGCTGTCTGCAGATGAGTGAGTATATACATACATAATTATATGGTTATGTGATACGACTAAATTGAATAAACGGCTAAAATCTATAGAACAGTTCGAAGGCACAGCTTCTGAGCCACGATTTAACATCGATTTTGAAATTTAACATCAATGTATTATCCATCTACTACATTACTGTGTTACAAAATGTCATGTAATTCCCCTAATTACACAAAATGATTGTTAGTACTGTAAGTACACATATTTYTGTAACTATAGAGGATCAGAATGGAGACAGACTGAGATTAAGAACAGGGTACATTTTCAACTGCATGGGAGGTAAGTTGTTAAACAAAAGCATCTCTCTAGTCTACATCTTCCTCACCTCCAGATGTTTCTGTGCCCTGAGAGGGCTGCACAGCTGGGGSTCCCTCCACGCCAGGTTGTCCCGAAGGGTTCACCTCCTCTTGTGTCCCGTTCTGACCAAGCTCATCCACGGTTGTGACCATTGACAAGCCCTCCATCTTCCTCCCCTGCTGCCACAAGTACCTTACGGCAAAACCGCTAGTAAACCACAAGGAGTAGCAACAGTCTTCTTTCCTCCAAGCCTGTATTTTCTGTGGCACTCCTATTCTTCTAAATTGCAAAAGAAGAGCAAAAACAAAAAAAGGGGACCATAAGGAGGAGAAACAGAGAGAGAGAGAGAGAGGCAAAACAACAGCTAATGAAATCAGAGCGTAAGAAACGATGAGGGAGGGAATGTGATAGGGATAGAGAACGATAGGAGTTACTTAAAGAGGAAAGCAAAAAGAAGCCGGTGGTTGAAGAAGTTCAAAAAGTCGGGCATGAATCAGCAAGCTGGATGCAGAAATGTGGACATTCATGCAGCTCTTGTTAGTCTCCTCCTTCCACTACAGCTTTAATACCTTCCCATATTCAACTCCACCTCTTTTTTTTTGTTGATCACACGAGAAACACGCACACATATAATCCCCACAATCCTCCCCTGATGGGCTTACTTCAGTACCCCCTCCGCTTGTATTACCCACCCAGCCCAAAGTCAAGTTAGCCCTCTTGTCTAGACAGAAGCAGACACACACAAACACACACCGACRTCGATTAAATTATGTAAGTAACCTTACATAAGTGTACCTGAAGGGAGCTTGACCCCCATATTTCTATTATTTTCCTCTTCATTTCCCTCAATTTAAAGATTTGGGCTGTGTACTACTTCAGAAACTCTTAGTGAGTAGATTGTCAAATATATTCAGTCAATGCTTTGACTCATTCATGCATGTTTGAGAAATTCTTGAATCTCCTGTAGCCATGTGAAGCTGCCTAAATGGTTTGCTGGTACAAATCACCGCCTACAGTATTTACGCCAAGCTCCTCCCTGGAGCTCAGTCCCCAGCCGAGCTCCGCCCCACAGAGCACCCCTTCTCGGAAACGTTGTTGTGAAAATGTGCTGTGAAAAGTGATAATGGTGTACGAGCTTTATGACAGATGCAGTTTATTTTGGAAAAACTCAATGGTTTGAATTAAACCATTTCTCTAAAGCTGAGGTCTAGGGTTGGATAAAATCGTGTTGTGTGCAATTACCGTATTTATTCATGTAGACTTCAAGATTTTTCAGCCTTTGCAGTCTTTATACATATCAGTAAAATGATCATTGGACTGCTCATTTTATTTTAAAAACATWTGTACTAAAAGGTATTTTGACAACAAATATATATCAGCTGTAGCAGCATCATATGAATTCTGGCATTTTGCACATAGCCCACCAGGATGCGCCAACACAAAAGTCAGAGACTTCACATGAGATTTGGGCCATCTTGTGGGGAAAAAGCAGATTACTTCCTACTCACGAGCGCCCCCTCTGGTGGGGAAACGATTTTTAGGGATACAAACTTTTCCAGAACACCGGTAGACGGCTGCCATTACAGACAAATGTGTTTGTTGTTGTTCGAGGAGCGGCCCAGTCACACGCTAATGTCTTTAGTTCGCTATCATTACTAAGATGCAGGAATAATTTCCCCGCCTTTTTTTCACATCATGTCACCTGCCTGGATCTGTTATTATCTCGCTCTGAGGCATGGAGGAGTGTCACAGGTAAGCTCGTTTCAACTGCTTTTTACGATGCGGTCTCATTTCCGGACTCAGGCATTTTGTAAATGAAGCTGATATTTCAGTTAAAATACATAAGTAAAAATATTTATCCAAGTATAGTACTACCCCCCAACTTTGTGTATGCTTTTATGGATTTAATTTTACATATTATACTCGAATAAATACGGTAATCATCAGAAAAATGTTCAACAATTAATATTAGCCAGTYTGTCATTACTATTATTAGTGCCACATGATAATGTATCTTCTCTATCATAGGTGCACATGCGAGCTCAACGGCGGAAGCCAGCGTAGAGCAACTAACGCTAACCCTATCTCTACAAACCTGTTTGATCAACTGAATCGTCGACATAAACCAGAGTACGAGGAAAAAAAGAAAAGGTGAAGCAAGACCACAATGTTGGCTACATGCAAGTGCAATTATCATCCAATAATCATGTCAATCATTATTGGCTAAATGCCACAATTAATCATGATGTGTTTTTTGCCAACATTGCAAAACTTTGTGGAGAWCAAAGGTAAGATGTTAATTTTTCACCTTTCCAAACAACTCCACATTGTAAAACCTAAACTATTTATTATTTTTTATAATGTTGCTAATGTAGCTTTTCTTTATTTGACTAATATGCTAATTAGCACAAACATCTGACAATGCATTAGCTTTGCAAATGCCAAACGACACAGCAAATTGACATTTTTTTTAAACATGTTTTGAATTTTATTTAAGAATTTGCGATAATTGTGACTCGAACAACTGAGAATATACACAGTGAGCTTATTTAAAATACAATTATATTTGAAATCATAAATCAAACTGACACAAACACAAACACTACACAACGTCTGGTCCTTGGCCTCTTGGCTGTCAGTATCTGCTAYAGTTGAGCAGCCCTGAAGTAGGTTCTTTCCTCAGGCTTTGAAACTGCTTGACGACTGATGTATTCTGAACTGAATTACTTTTTATATACTTTATGCTTTCCTTGGTAGCAAAATCTAAAAAAAAAATCACATGTTAATGACATCACTGCAATTAAAAACAGACTCCTCCCCTTTCACAGTCCAAGCTCCTCCTGCAGCAGCATAGCTGGACAGGGAGCAGATCTGAAGGATTTAATCTACTCACTCCACTCACATCCTTTACTCCAACAGTCAACCCCTCCCCCACCTCAATCCACAGGATTATAATCTGACTATGAAAACAGAAATACAGCAACTGCACCTCTCCATTGTTCATTATCATCTGTTGTCTAAATATCCCAGCAAACATGATGCATGGTTTGGTCTTCAGCGCGCGCGTGCACACACACACACACACACACACACACACACACACACACACACACACAAGGGGCTGATTGTGCTCGGCTACTGAAGCGTGTTTGCATCATCAGCTGATGCTGGGCCGTCAACCTGGTGAATGGCCACAATTTTGTGGGAGTAATGACAAAGCAGAGTGCAGTCCTCCCCTCCTGTGAAAGAGTCTCTCTTTATTTTTTTTACTTGCAAACACAATCCAACCGAGTGCATCGAGCACTTGAACATCTGGGATTAAATAGACTTTTTTTTGTACAATAACAGTGTGTAAAGTTGCAGCACTTGATTAAGAATCTGCCTACAAGCAAAGCAATCAAGACTGGAAACATAACTTTCCTAAAAAAAAAACTGCATTTAATTGGGGGAAAAATGAAAAAAAATCTTTGATAAAGCAGCCTAAATTCACTATCAAGCAAACGAGAAGACTAGAAATGTCTACAACTCCAGCATTTCTCTAACACAGACCAAAAGGATAGACCTTTCTCTTTCTTAGTTTGATGCTGATTTATATCATTTTAGTCATCAATTTTTGTCAACTTAGCACAAAAAAATAATCTACAAAACACTAGGGTTGGGCATAATCGTATCGTGTGCAATTAATGGTCAGAAAATCATTAATCGATTATTTTTTGGCACTTGACGATTAATGCGATAAATGCCACCAGGCAGCTCAGTGCTCCTCTCCGCTTCAAATATGACAAACATTTAAAAAAAGGTTCTGTAATTTATTTATCTATTGACACCGTTGAACAGATTTTTATGAAAAGCAAATCTTTCCCATTAAATTAGTCTTGTGATTTGGGTGTCCAGGGACTCCAGGGGATTAATCGTCAAATTAATCGTTATCAGCTAAATACCACAATTAATCATGATTAATTTTTTTGCCAATATTGCCCCACCCTACTAAACACTAATTTTCTTACTTTTTGTGCTAACAGTGCTTCTTGGTACTAGATCTTATACCCGGAATCTGAATGGCAAAACCTGGAGGTACCAGAAGCTCAAAACAAGTCTCAATAGCAACAGCAGAAAAAAGCTGTTTGGCAGCTCTACYGCTCATCCCACAAATGCATGTTCCTTACAAATGTGGCACCATTTAAAAGTGAATTGAACAGGCTTTCCAACAGTATAAGATTTATTGTCAAGAAGCATYGTTACAGCAAAGAAATAATCTATCAAACACAACCTTGTATCCTTAAAAAAGGTTAAAATTGTGTTTTTTTTTAATTAAAATCCAAGTGTCTTTGGTGCCGCCTATAACCCGTTTATTTGTAGCTACTGTGCGACAGACTTACTTTTTCAAGAGTGAAAGCACGATAAACAAAAAGGAGCCATAGAAAGTTGTGAAAAACAAACCACCCAAACAATGTCTGCAGGGGTAGACATAATTATCATTTAGGTTGTCCGAGACAACCTATTTTTGTTTCGGACAACCAGATCCTGTCTCCTGGTTGTCTGGTGGAC